AATAATGATTAAGCAATGAAATACTCAAGGGTCTAAGTATAACCCACACTCAAGATGAATAGGCATCATTATGTATCTATAGAACTTTTTAACAGAGTACTTTGATCCTGCATTTAGATAATGTAGATTTGAAGTCATATTCCTATTATGTTATGCCTTACAAGATGCTCATGTGTATGTGGGATTTTTTGTAAAGCCCAATTTCGTACAGAGCAATATAATCACATAGAAATATTCTGGAAATTACATCCAGAAAGGATAAGTAAAGACGATTGTGCTTGACGAGGTACTATATTTGGAATTACAAGAATGCAGTGATCAGCAAGCAAAAATCATTAGAAACAAAAGAGAAAAGATATCCATATTATATCAACATTAAATTCATACAAGGATCGTGATTGTGTCAAAAATGCAAAGAGATATCACACACTCATACATACTTGAGCTTTGCCATTGCGTTCTCCACCATAGCATGATTGAGTAGAATGCTAAAAGAATAGCAGTACCACCCATTACCACAGCTCACCAAATTATGTCCCGGCCCAAAATTACAGTAAGCCAGCTTCCCCACATTAATAGCACCACAATTGGTGAGATAACAATCAGCCAAGCAGTAAGAGACATAAAACTACATAAAATTCCCAGCTGGGGACCTTGAAGCATTTCAGGCCATTTTCGGGCAAAGATCCAACTGCATAGGCAATTAAAATAAATAAATAAATAAATAAATAAGGGGATAAGGTTCTCTTTAAATAAGATGAGAGAGGAATAAAGATTTCATTTACATGTTGTTAGCACAATAAAAATCTCAATTTGGCCGTCTCACTAATCTCCAATGAACATAGAACTCACAAACATAGATATTACATATCCAAACAAATATTTATCCTTCAGGGAGATGTTTATATTTAAACATCTTTTATTTTTATTCATTGGTGTATTTCTTAATGTATACAGTCATCAAACATTGGTAATATTGTCTTTTGATTTGGAAACTGTATGAAATCCCTATTAGCATGAATCTTGGTCATAGTGTGATGAACTTTTGATTTGCTCTTGTGATGGGACCCGTTCCCCAAACTCCCGCACAGCAGGATGCATTGTGCATCAGGCTGCCCTTTCTTAGAGTTAGACTGTTTGAGTATTCATGTCTTCAAATCCCAGTTTATCTCTTACTGCTAATGAAGTAATGAGTAATGGCCATTACGGCATAACCTAATAGCAAGCATCAAGTAATGATAGTGGTGAACTTGCTGGTGATCAATTTCCATGGTTGCTCATTTTGGAAAAATAAAAAAAAATCAGGTCAGTGCTGCCTATTGTAGTTTTATGATGTTTCAATTAGAGAAGAGTAATTTTATTAGACTTAATTGGAATAAGATAATTTTTCTTCTTTAATTCAAAAAGGCACATTAAACTTCATTTACTTCCTAATCCTACCTTCTATGAAATTTTGAGTAGTAAATGCAGCAATGCAAGAAGGGTCTAACATGAGCAGCCTCTCTATTTTTAAAATGGTATGGTTGTTTATGTCTTGACCACCAGACGGAAAGGTAACTTGGTTTAATGATTAATGATTTTTTCCCAATTTCGTCCGCCACTTTCTTCTTTCTTTTTTTCTTTCTTCATTTCTTTCTCTCCAATTTCGTCCACTGGCCTGTCAGATCTCTTCTTCTCTATTCCCTTTCTTCTTCTTCTTGTCTTCTTTTCTTTGTTTTTCTTCTCATTCTCGTTTCTTTTCTTTCTTCTTCTTCACCTCCGTATTTTCTTCTTCTATGCCATCTAGATCTGCGATGGTGAGGGTAAGGGCAGTGGCGGCGATGGCGGGGCTGAGGACGGCGGCGACGATGGTGGGGATGGCGGCGGCGGCGGCGATGAGTCTAGATCTATATTTCTTCTCTTCTTGTTTTCTTCTTCTTCTCTCTCGTTCCTTTCTAGCCCACAATCACGGCGATGGTGAGACCGCAAGCGGTGGTGGGGTTGACGATGATTGTGAGGACTAAGGTGAAGGTGGGGCTGGCGGTGAAAATAAATGGAACATGAAGACAAAGCATACCAAGTATAATAATGGCAGTTGATGTTATAGTCGCAAGCCAGTGTGATTCCTTCACAGTCAGGCCATACAAGATAGAATATGCAAGTAGTACTAAAACTGAGCCAAGGTACAGAAGCCCAAGATGCAAAGCCCTGCAAACCTGCTTGCATGAGAAATTACATTTGATAGCATGCTTCCAAGTTTAGACGTTATAGTATTTATAAAGACTTCTTCAGAAGTTAAAAGAAAACTCCCGCATCAGATTTATAATAGGTCTGCTAAAAGATAGCTAGCAGAACTGATTCATAAACATTAATGTGTGAGTCATATGTATGCATATATCCTACACCTACAACAACAAAGCCATAATCTATACACACATTGGGTAACTAGAATAAAGTATATACATGATTGTAACAATATAACATCAAGCTTGACGTTAAATAACAGCTTTACAGAGAGACTGCACAACCCAAAATCACATAATAAATATATTACTGTTTAGATAAACAGATTTAGAGCTTGCCTTCTCGTTTGTCGAGGATATAACTCATTAGGTTCAGGGGGTTCTTGTAAACAAGCAACTGGACCCACTTCAATACAGTCTGAATACGCAAATTTGTATGCCCTCCGCACATATTCATCAACATCTAAGCCATTACCTGATGTGAATGGTAACAATAATTGCTCAACTAATAGTTTAGAAGCTAAATAGGAGAAGAAATTACACATGTTGAAAAACAGCAGCATACTCATGGGAAAATTTATGTTTTGAACTGTACTCTAAGAAATGATAAAAGAAAATACAAGTCAGAAGGTTCACTAAAAAGGAGACACAAAAGCCAGGA